TCGAGCCGAACTCAAAATTGTTATTTCTGAAACATAACCGAAAACATTCACCTGTTAATGAACCGGGCGCGTACCAAACATGGATTTATTACACTAGCGACCCGCCCCGGCATCGCTCGGTTGCAATGGAATTTCTCGGCTTTCCTCTTCTATAAATGCATGTTTTAGGTAAACCTTCCTCTTGAATCACGATCTATTAAAAAACCGCATGAAAACCAGTTGCGTAGTTTTAAGATGTAAGTGTACATAGGGACAAACAGACAGGAAAGCGACTTTGTTTTATAATATGTAGTGATGATAGAGATGTACCTAACTATTAGGATCGCATGGTTAGTGGGTGGATATGCAGCTTTTAATTAACGCATTGTTTTGACTCGCAAACAATACCTGGGGGCATTCATAGGGGGATCGCCGCCCTTCGTTGAAACCTAACTGTTCTATACATATATATACCTAGGTACAGGTACAATACTATAATATTTGATGTCTGAGGGGCCTCGTGCATCAGATTACAGATGCCTCGCCATGTTCATTAAACAAATAATTAAAGTAGCAGCACAAACTAGGAACAACAAAGGCAGGCTGAGACAGTCTGGCTTTAAGTTCTCAACAAGAGATCTTACCTTTATTTGATAGATGAGATTCGAAAGGCAACTAACGTTTACATGTTATTGTTACACCGAAAGGATTCAAAGACTTACTTACCTGTGATGTATTCTAAAGTTACATTATACCTAATTTATGTATTTTGTAGGTACATTAAGTTCGTACATTTATTTAAGTACACGATTAGCTACTTTAACCCATTTAGACCGATAATTATTGTTGTAAATAAAAATTGATTTTTCAGTAAAAACTTACAAAGGGAAGCAAATATTTAAAAAAATAATCCATAAATAGGGGGCCGTGGGGAGCCCGTACCATATAGGGTACAGTAGGTCCATAAGCAAGCAAAACATAGTTGTTGTTCAAAGAATATTTTTATTTATTTTTGTATGATATAAAATAAAAATAAAATCATATAATCACTAGTATCACACATGGCATATCTTACGAGACGTTTTCTGTGATACTAACCACATTTGGTTCTTTTTTCCTACCTTCTCCGAAGTTAGTAAGGATAGCTGAAGAAGACCTGGCTTCTTCTGATTTGTTACGTTTAGTGCTATCCATAATCGCATTTAGCAACACGACGATGGAAATTTAGCAAATCCATCGAAGAAAACTCTGAGAGTTATTATTTACATTGACACTATCTTTATCGCCTAAATCTTCGTCAGTCTGATCATCATTAGCGGTCATCTGACAAGACAGCAGTAGAAAAATACCAAAATTGCTTTATGTTTGCTGAAATTATCAAATTTTTCATGATTTGTGGCAATAAAGTGAAGCATCAATTGCCTCAAACAAATAAAAATAATAAAAATTAAATTATATTTTTTCGCACGATTTGCTCATGCATAGACCTACTGTACTTTATACGGTACACCTATTTTAGACTGGAATAAACCGTATAAATATAATCTCAATAATATTTTTTTTGTAGTCATGATATCTATTGTACTCTATTTTTTAAATAAAATTGATAAATAACATAATTTTCCATGAATAATAAGAAATTACTGTTGTTGCTTGCGATTTTGCACGCGCTATGTAAGTAGTGCTTCCGTAGGCATAATACCTACAGCTAATTTTATATTCTCAGTAAGTACGTTGAAAAACATACTTAGCTATGGCTGTGCGCCTGATGATAACAATATACCTAATCACGTAGGTAAAGTGAGTACCTAAAGAAGTTTAATTGCGCATCTTTATGACTCACTACGAGAAATTGTGCATGATATCATTTTATCATTAGGGATTTATTTTATCTCACTTCCGATTTTACTCACAGAAATATTTCGAGTTTTAATTAAAAACGAAAACTAAATAATGGGATGGATGTAGTTTAGCGCTTTATAATTAAACGCGTTCAGATTTAGAATTATTTTCGCAACACTCTATTTTAATTTCCTGGGTTAGTTTTATGGAATAATAAAGGCGTGCATAAGTGCTGGTAAGAAAAGCTCTCGAGTCGAACCACGGGCCGGAAGACGTAGCGTGAGCAGGCCTCCTACTAGGTGAACTGACGATCTGGTGAAGGTTGCGGGAAGAACCTGGATGCGGGCAACGCAGGACCGGTCGTTATGGAAAGCCTTGGAGAAGGCCTTTGTCCAGCAGTGGACGTCATTTGACTGAAACGAACGAACCAACTAAAGGCGTGGTGCTAATAGCACGCTGCATCCAAATTGGAGGCCGATGAAGTTGTCCAACCTACAACTTCACTTAAGTATGTTTTATGTGCATCGATATAAATGGTCACCCAAAACTTTACGAGATTACGAGTTTGTAAGTAGATTTATAAGACCTACAATCCTCATAATTACCCACAATTAAGTAGGTAGAGAAGGTATTACCTACTTATACTTTATTGTGCGATACATTTTATTTTTATTGCAATAGAAAGACAATACGAGTATGAGTAGACAACTATCATAATTTACTGTATATCTACCTACTTCATAGTGTTCATAGTGATAGTCGAATCCAAAGATTTATAAACTTCTAAAACGAAATTGTAGAGTTTGGTTAGTGGTATGTTGCACATAATAACTCCTAGCTAAAATACTAATTCCTTTTACTTCTTATTTTTATTCTTAGAATGTGACAAAAATAATTACACCGTTGTTTATATTATTCCTTTATATTTTAAAATGTCTATGATCGCTTTGATTGGTATATTGCCAATTTGGCTCACAAAAGATCAAAGCCTAACAGAATAATGCACTAAACGATGCGGTTTCGATGGGCTTCCACCCAAACCCCCCCAAAGCCTTCCGAGAAAGACACCCTATGGACTTTATTTATAGCTCGACTCCAAAGTTTAATTAACACCGTTCAGTTGCCATCTTATTTTAATTTCAAATGATTTTTATAAGGTATCTACGAGTATCAGTGTCGATTAAGAAAGTACCTACTTGGAGTAGATTTCAGCATTTTATAACAAAGTTTCTGTGTTGTTACTGCAGATAATTTTTGGTGTTTAAGTAATAGTAATTTTGGAAGAGTATAAGTGCATTTTACACACTTTTCTCTGTAGGTATGTTTTTTTTTTAAATATGGAATCGAAGCTAGGTTGTTTAAATGTACATGTAATAGTAAACGTGTCTTTTATCGTGCTGATTTTCTCTTGTGGATTGTTAATATGTAACCAAGAAGTAGGTACACAATCCTGACTTCTACATGACCGTTGGTGATGGTGATGTACCTTCCAAATGAAACATAACTTAAACTAACCAAATTGTAAATAAAACCACAGACAAAATGTTAATTTGACACTATAGCCTATATAGATACTTTTAAAATTATTTATCAATAAGTTTAAGGTTTTAATGATAAGTATTTGATGGCTTCATGTCTATCACATAAAACGGTGAGCACATAAAATTGTCCTTATACCTAGTGTAACTCGACAAACTGGTACTCGTAAACCTGTGCGACAAATATTGAGATACACCTGCTGTTTGTTGACGTTAAACAGTGCCAGTGATCGTAGAGCGTATAGGTGCGTATCATAGAATACGGTCCTAAAACTTACTTTAAGCTTAGGCAAGCCAAATTTTTATACATTGGTTAGATAAATAATAATAGAAACGCAGCTGCTGCCCTAATAAGTAATCAGATAATTTAAAATATATATGAGGCTTCCGGCGACTGGGACCGCAATTAACTGGGACCGCGGTCCCAGTCGCCGGATGCGTAAAAATTAAATAATTTTCTTCCGGCGACTGGGACCACTCATAGATAACTTTAAAGAAAATATTATTCAATCCAAAATCGGTACAGTACTAAAATCCATGAGTGGTCCCAGTCGCCGGAACAAAATTATTTAATTTTTACGCATNTTCCGGCGACTGGGACCACTCATAGATAACTTTAAAGAAAATATTATTCAATCCAAAATCGGTACAGTACTAAAATCCATGAGTGGTCCCAGTCGCCGGAACAAAATTATTTAATTTTTACGCATCCGGCGACTGGGACCGCGGTCCCAGTTAATTGCGGTCCCAGTTGACGGAATCCTCATTTAATATCAAAACAAGGCTAATGGATTCTTGGCGTACAAACTCTATACTAGAGAATTCCACCTGTTTTTCCTTGAATTTTCTTATGAATCTTCGGTTCTACGTACTTATAATCAACCACTCTTTCCTTTTTAAGGTTAAACTGACGATTTATTTGTAAGTAGGTACACCATTCTAGGAATGCTGCCTAGTTTTCTTGCTTGAACTCTACAATTGCGTAGAATAAAATAAATGTTTCTGACGTGTATATTTAAATTACTTGGGATTTCCCAATTTAAATACCGTGAAAGTATTGAGCCCTTTTAAATCTCAGTGTTGGCTACCTGCCATAAATAAATAGCAAAAAAAACTGCATTGTGAGACACTACAATATCTTTCAGTGATAATGCGATGATGCTCTCTACAATAGGACTCGGACACATCACCGCTAAGCCCACGACCGCCGACAGTACCTGTCTTTTTTTCAATCACAATTTTTATTTACTGTTGTGACTCATCGCCAAGCAATTCATGTAAAAAACTATTAGACTATAAGATAGACACTTTGGAGGAAAACAAATCACGTGATGATGATTTATATACTTAATTGATCTAAATGGCTTTAGCTATTGGGAAACTACCTATCTAGGCCACGTTTTGTCTTTAGTTGTAGGTTGTATGGTAGATTAGGTTTCAAGTACAAAAACTGGTTTTACGTTCACGTATAACATGATGCTGTAAGAACAATGATTCAGGCGATAAGAAAAAAAGCCTTTACACGGTTTTTCCTTCACACCAAGGCCGCGTCGCGTAATTATTAGAACAATATAGCGTGTGTATTTTTATGGTATACAGGTAAATGATTAGTTTATATAAAGTAAAATGTTAAAAACTTACCTTAGAATGAGGTGGTCATATTGCACACGTCTCTGAGGTCACAACACAACAAAATCGTATAAAAGTCAGTAACGAACTGGAATGCTAAGGCTTCGTGGCGACCAATAGCGGAGGTGGGCGACGGAATGCGACTCTTGCGCACAGGTAGAGGCGGCGCGCGTGTGTGCGTCACGTTGGTCCCACCGACACTGTAAGTGTTGCGACTCGGCACGCAAACATAGGCGTAATGCAAGTGCAAGTAGAGTTCATGCAACCTATCTTTTTTTCAAATGAGTTTACAGTTACTAAGAATATGTCTTGTGCAGTCTACGGATCGTCAAGGCATTATAAATTAGTTACAAGACACTTATGCATGGTTTTATAGGCCAGAGATATCTCATCATCATCATCATCATCATCATTTCAGCCACAGGACGTCCACTGCTGAACATAGGCCTCCCCCAATGCTTTCCATGTTGATCGATTGGTAGCGGCCTGCGTCCAGCGCTTCCCTGCTACCTTTACGATGTCGTCTAATTTTACAGAGATATCTAATTTTAACTATTTGTATGGGACAATGTACGACAGCACATCAAGGTAAACACAGAGCGGTATCTTATCTTGTTGTAATACAGGCTATTTTGCAACTAAAATGTGTACTCTTATATGCTGTCGACTGTACTTCTAAGTGCGATGAAAACTTATTTACAAATAAGAAATTACGAGGTAGATAAATAAAAATATTCTTTAAGCAATCATAGAAGTTTATTCGCTGATCTTTGACTTAAGGGCCAACACCCGGCAAAACTAATACAAACTTCGCTTTTTTTAATAATCCCTTTTACTAATAATCAATCACACTTTAGTTATGTCCAAAAAAACATCTAATGACTTAAACAGTTTTTTGGTATTATTACACGAACTAGTACTGACTTTTGTAAATCATTATAAACCTTATATTCGAAAATAAGGGTGAATAAATTATATCAGTGAATCTATACCAAAAAAAAAACTATTTCATTCTTACTGAAAAATAAAATAACCTAATAAAGAATTTAAATTAACTGGTAAATGAAAACTACAAGGTACTTAATATAACTTAAAACAATGTTTATAACTACAAAATATAATGTAATTAAAGAAGTACAACCTATAAACTTAATTAATGTTATTATTTTGTACCAAGTAAAAAACCTTTAAGTTTTGAGTGATATAACCCTTTATAAAATTAATGTAAAGTGAATGAACAAAATCTGGTGTCTAAATCTGTACAATAATGGTCTTTGTAAGCAAATCAGTAAGTTCTCAAACGATTTAATACTCGAAATGTCAGTACAATTAGAAAAAACAGGTCAAATGCGATTCGCGCTCGCACACAAAGGATTCCGTACTATTGTAGACGCGCAAGTGACAGCTCGCTTATAGAGAACCCTAAAAACGATAGGAACTATTTTATTATGTTTTTTCCTTCGTCATTTTGTTTATTTTATTGGTGTGAACACAAATTCGCAGTGCATGTTGTGTGAATAATACATAATTTTAAGATACCAACCTACCACAAGAAACACGCAAGCGCAGCATAAATTCTTAGTGCCATCTGTCGCTTTTGAAATAAACTAATATGAAGTTATCTGCGCCAATTTTTTATTGTGTGGCTATTGAGTTAATTCAATAGGTAATTTTGTGAAAAGGAGAAACGTATTTTTATATTTTAGACGATTCGATACTGACTAGCATAGAAAAGCACTGTTTTCGAACTCCATACACAAATGAAATTAAAATTGTATCTACCACGTCGACACAGAAATACCTAAAGTGAAATCGAACATGTTGCTAAGGAATTTTCTGTGGATATTTCCAGTTATAAAAATATCAAATTTAGTTTATAACATTGTGTAATCGGTTTGAGTTACCCTATTTTTCTTAATTATTCCGAAACATTTGGTAATGCAGTTTAAAAATCGTGTCTCTAATGACCCCACAGCCATCACTAAAGGCTTTGCTTTTTGCATGGATAATTTAGTCAAAGCTAACTAGTTTAAATTGAATAGAATGTATGTTACAATAAATTTATTTCATCAATATTTTTTTTAAATTGTAACGGTAAACGGATTTCATCATGACGAGCATTTTTTATGAAAAAATACTAATAAAGTTTCATGACATTCCCTAAACCGAATTTCAATAAAAAATAATTTTGAACATACTCGTAGCTACTAAATAACTCAAATTGTAGATTAATTTATTATTTACGAAATGTTTATCCAATTGTCTATAATTAAATTGATGTACAACTTTTACACATCGTCCTTTAGTAGCTAAAAATCATAAAAATGGTTTATTAAATTCATCAGACACGATTTTTAAACAAAGTAATTTAACCAAAACGTTGAAAACTTACGTCATGACATAAATACAAATAAACTACCTACTTTACTTATAAGTAATAGCTTTCTTCAAATCATACTTTCATACCGCGTTCATACAATTTAATTACACTTCATGAAATCAAATTTGAATATTTTGGTTATTATTTTATGATATGTGGTAACAGTTACTTTACTCCTATCAACATAGGAATGGACTGATTTTAATGTAGGTACAGGTCGCCACCACACCACAGCGAGCATTTGTGTTATAAATTCGCACCTATAGCTTTTACTTAAGGTATAAAATTATTCAGTATTCAGCATGATTCGCCGGCATGCCTACCAAAATTACCACTAATGTAAGACAGACGTAGTTTTAATAGTACGTTGTTAAATGTCATTGACCACAAAATTAACAATAAAAAACATTTTGTTCGTAATGAAACTAATTAAATATTAAGTAAAATTTCCAAAATAGTAAGTCAGTAAACATCAGAGTGGTCAACTAAAATTGTGTTAGCTGTTAGTATGTATCTGTCAAGAAATAATTTTGCAAGTTAAATCATTTTGAATACCTCATATATTTTAGGACTGAATGACTCGGCTTAACGTTTGGCAACACATCTCAAATTTTTAAAGTATCTATCTAAAAAGCCTAAAAATTCACTATAAGGTACATTCACACAAACGTGAAGTGAGCGGTATTTGGCACATACGCACGACACGACATTAAAACTGAAGATCGACGCGTACGCAGCTGACTTGAGAGAGAACAAATGTCCACCCACTTAAAGTAACATGTCAATATACCTTAAGTCAGATCTCCATTAAAAACTAAGACTAGCCGTGTGACCAAGTAACATTTAATGGCCAACATCATTCTTTTTAATAATTTTTAATTTCATTTTTTGAGAAGTTTGTAACTTCAAAGTAAAAGCAAAGTTTTTTTAATGTCTAACACCAATTATCATGTTTCAATTTTCTAAAATCGCCATCAGTTTTTTTCTACTTTTGTATCATGTTTATTACCCAAAATGCTGATACAGCATATAAACAGAAGCCAAAACACGAATTTATGAACATTCACTACAAATACGACGAAATTACATCTTCTTTCGACGATGTTTTTTTTATCAAAGAGCCCTCTGGGTATTTAAATATCGTTTTAGACTAGTCAAGTTCCTTTAAATTCTCTAATAATTATTATTTCTTGGCGAGATTATTTTTAACTAACCATTGGCGACCAATTTTAATCGAGTTCTGGCAACTTACAAGTGACCCGATTTTTAATCGCCAAACAACTTTAGAATGAAGAACGATTTTGACACATTATTTATCTAAAACTTTGAACATGTCACATGAATCGTCTTTTTGTCATATTTATCGTAAAAACGACGATCTTACTATCAAACAAAAGACAACTTCACATTGGAAAATCGGTATGTGTGTATGTGAAGCAAGACCTATACGACTTTTATGAAAACTATGTGTTTATGAAAAAAGCCCTAGTTCTTTTTTATACCAAAATATACGAAAATAGCTATAGCTTGCTTTATAAATAGGTCTTACTCCACGTTTGTTGAAAACACTTCAACAAACATTTCGTATTCTTATAAACATTGTAAAAATATTTTCTTACTAGCGGCCGCCCGCGACTTCGNGTGTAGATAAATCTCAAAAAACGTAACATACTCTAAACACAAGTAAATATAAAAATGAGAAGAAAAATCTTAACAATTTGTATCAAATTGATTAAGATTAACATAAATGAACTTATATCCTAATACTAATACATAACAGTACTTGTCACATCATATCAAAGATGTTAACAAGTGTATGGTAAATAAATTTTATTGTAACATAAAGTTTGATAATGGTACGACGTTATCGGAAAAAAATGGCAATAACTACGAATGCTAGCTTTAAAAGCATAAATCTTTTAATACCCTGTCTTGTATACAAACAAACAGTCTATGAACGGAGATACATTATGTACCTATTTTCGGTATGTCAATATGAGAGTATAAATATTTTGTCTGTAAATTAGTTTTCTCTGATTTGATAGTCATTTTATTTAATCAACAAGTATCTACATAATAAATCTTTGTGTTTTGGTTGGTACTAATTTGAATGTTTGTAATAATATAATCTTTCATTCAATCAACAGCTATAAAATTTAAACTTGATAGCTTTTCATTTTTACTACATTACGTTTCAATTTGAGTCCATTTTCTGATAAAGAACTAGGAACATCAATTTGGCGTATAACAACGTTAATACCTCTAATTATACTTAACTATACTAGAATTGCAAGAGCCTTTAAACCTATATAATAATAATAAATTAATTGGTATGACTACAAAAAAAGTTAATGTCAAAATAAACATAAGCAGTTACTATTCGATTGTTTTGATTCCCTGTCAAAATATCTTTATAAACTAAAATTAGATTTGGTTTTATAGGTTAACTTAAACATGGCAGTTTATTGGTAGATCTGTCCATCGCAGTGCGATATCCGAGACTTATGTCCTTAAGGAAACAAACTTCAAAACTTAATGCAAACTCCAAATCAGATTCTGGTTTGTTATTGGTCTAATTAGAACTAAACCAATCACATTGCTTGAATCTATGCTGGAGTTTTAAATGAGGTTTGGTCTTTTATAACACAGGACTTAGTCTTTCGGTGCAGGCAGTGACATAACGACAGTGAAGAATCAATATTTCTTATCTAACACATATTGTCATGGTGTTTCCATAATTGAATTTTAATACAAAAAAGCTAGTACACAAACTCATTACCTTTCGAACTTTCAGAATTCATTGAAATAATGTGCGATACGTAACCGCCCTGCGATGCACAGAATAGGCTTAAAGGCTTCCGAAACTACGCGATACGATATTGAAACGTTCTGTTAATCGCGCACTTGTTGACCGTCACGAGTACCGTGTTAACAATGGTGAGTAACACTGTGGCGTAGCATTGTTCTCCTTTAGTCGGGCAACACCATTTGACTGTCATTTTGTTGTATGTGTGTGTGATGGCACACCGGAGCAACACCACTGTGTGGTGGCGCCTGTACTAAGTAGACTCTGGCGGCATTTCGTCATCAGTGGAGGGAGGGGGCAGCGGGGCGTCCTCCTCGTAGATCATGACGAGCTTGCTGTATTCCCGCTTTTTCTTTGGTGTCTGGAAGGATTAGGAGATTTTGTTAATATAAAGGTGTGTCCAAACATGGCGAGTAAGGTACTCGGCAGCTACGCGCGGCATTCGCAGGACACAAATTTTCACACAAGTTTAGACCTTCTGCGCGGTAGTGCTACGCGGCATAAACGGATTGCTGTTTCGTTATCCATTTTACTTGATAAAATACGTCCGTCCACACACAACCACCGGCGAACCAAGGGCCCTCGCCCACGGCGACTTTTTGTAGTGATGCTGTCACTGTTTTGTTTTGACTATCGCCCTTGGTCAAAACCACTTTTGACTGGAAAAATCAGTCAAGTGATATTGACCAAGAGCATCGACTGATTTTTGCGGTCAAAAGTGGTTTTGACCGATTATGAGTTTTGACTGTAACATCTACATTAAAATATTTATAAACGTGGAAGGTGTGTCGTGTGTTATGATTCTACCACGTTCGCGTCATGTCATATCTCACTCACACAGGCATTGTATGCATTCACCTGCACGAGCTTATGACTGTGGGCTTAGAACGCGTTTATTTCATACATATTGTCGCGAGTGTACGAGGTGTAATGTGGCTCTATAGTAGCGCCACCCTAGTGAGTGCAAATGCGATAGTCATCCTACCGTCTAAGCGCTCACAAGGTGGTAACGCCACCTTAACATCTTGGCCACTATTATAGCTAGTGACATGAATTACCTCTACAGTAGCGCAAACTAATAAGCGCTAATACAGTAGCTCTCGCTTGCACATTCTTGTACTGCGAGCCAACATCCAGGTGTTTCCCGCGACCTTGGCTAGATCGTCGGTTCACCGAATGGATTTCTAGAATACCTGCCTACATTTTGTTTTCCAGTCCTGAATCGCTACTTGCACTTTTCTGCCCCAAAGGCCATCAGTTCTACTAGCTATGTCCTCGCCCACTGCCAATTTTCAAGAGACTTTTGTTTATTTCATTAATCTTGATGTCATAAGTCTAAAGCAAGGCTGCTCAACACCAGGCCTGAACAATTTTAAGTGGCCCGCGCAAGTATAGTTTGAAAATACGCACCAAACCACTCTCTGGAGTTAGCTGTCAGAAATGTTAGTGGCCCGTCGTTAACGACTAAATCCACCGTTTGGCCCTCTTCAAAAGGTTGAGCAGCTTTGAGTGTAAAGGTTTCGCGAGTAAACTTACACGTACTGTATTGGTGCTGGTCTCCTCTCCAGAACTGCTGGAGCTGGTGACGCCTTCCTCGAGGGTCAGGCGCGAGGCCACTCCCTCCAACTGCAGGTCGAGGTACAGCTGGCCTAACTGCTCGTTCACCAATGAGGGCTGCAAGAAAGTACCAAGGTATCAAGCTAAGATAAAGCCTGGTCCGTGAGCACGTAGAATTTTGTACAATGACTAGTGACCGACCGAATATTCGTTTTCGTTTTCGTTTTCGGCCATTTTCGGCCAAAAAATGGACATTCGGCCATATTTTCGTTTTCGGCCAAAAACCAGCCGAAGCTTCGGCCAAACCGAATATCAGAAATACGTGAATAAGATGGTGACGTTTATCGTTCCGATATCTTCGGGAGTGAATCTGATGCACTCATGGTTCCAATCAGACTTGAACGGACGCGGTATTGTCACACTCTTTTAAAGTTTTGAAGTGAGGTTACATTGTAAAGGGTGTCCAGCGAAAATTTTCCAAGTTCAAAATTGAATACAAATAAAACCAAAGAGTTTTCAATAAGTTTAATTGTTTCAAAATAGAGTCTAATGCGAATTTGAAATACGCCATGAGTCACTGGTCGATGTGTCTTGCTTCACAACAAGAAGGTGTCTCACCACACACGGAGAGTACCTCGAAGGAGACACTGAGGACTATTTTTTCTAGCCTCCTCGGTCATCAGATCTCACACCATGCGACTTTTTCTTGTGGGGATATCTCAATTCAAAAGTTTACAGCNTAACAATGACCCCCCAAGCTACCAATCCTTCTTCTTCTTCTTTTTTGATGATGTTGGCAATACACGTCGAGGTCGACTTGATTTGTGCCATTTTCAAGTATTTATGTGATACGAGTTACAAAATGAGATCAAGTAATGATATAATGAAGGATGATAGATGATACCCCTTCCCACCCTTTGAGTCTCAGTAAAGTTGTGGTGCTTTACTGAGACCTCCTATGGACAACTTGAGAGAAGCCGAAGAATCACGATGCACTGTTTTGCTTCACTTGCACGTTCACGAACACTTAATGGTTAATAATCCACCATTATTACACATTAATAGTCGCCCAAACACGAATTTGAGGAAACAAAACAAAACCGCTAACATGACGCTTCAGATTCCCGCCAAGAAGCCCCTACCAATAATTATCGCTCGCGCGTAATTATGTTGCTGTCGCGACTGTGAGACGCGCGCCCGCAGTGAGTGTGCGAGCGCGACAGCAACAAAATTCTACGTGCTCACGGACCAGGCTTTAGCGTTGGATTATTATGATCTTTCTGGTATTACACCAAACGTATACGATAAAACGGAACAGTAAAACGGATACATGTGTTAACCGGCCGTAAGTGCGAACACACATTTTGCGTTTCAACTTTGTCCTGTCAAAGGAGACAATGACAGTTTAACTTCCCCGGGTTTTCCGACAAACTTAACCTTCTCTGGTTGGGTTTTTATGGCGGTCAAGCTGTAGATCCTAGGTAGGAGTTGCAGCGGTAGGAACGAGAAGTGGGAATAGTTCCGTGTCAAACGAGGCAGCAGGATTCATGAAACATCTTGGTGTCGTCGTTTCTACTCTCATGTAATCATGAGGTAGTCACAGAGAACATAGAACATGGTGTGGTTATGGCAGCAAGGAATTTTCAGACCCCTTCCATTATACGTACAGATCTTACAGATACTAGCACCCGTATTTACAAACGATGCTTGCTGAAGTGAAGCAGCAAATCGAACGCACAGCGTTGAATAGAGCTCTGTGATTGGTTCGTATGTGATCACCCTATGCGTTCACACGCACTGTGAGACCTCATAGTAATGTTTGTGAATACGGGCGTAATAATATCGTACTTACAAATAATAAATTAAAATGTAAATTACCTGTGGTAGGTGTGCCATTTTCTCCTTGTCAGAGCTCAAAACTTCTTCTAAAGTCTTTGTCAAAATCTGGTACTTGTAGATTAATTCTGATGTGACGCAGACCTGTAATCAAAAATGAAATCATCATAAAACAAGCCCAGTAGATAGACCTAGCGCCATGATAAACTTTTATCGAGGCATTGGTAAGCCCATACATTTTTCGTCTAAAGAGCGTTTTCACATTTAGACGATTTAGCAGCGCGACAAACGCGCGACATACGCGCTGCCGAAAATTTCATACTATGTGCGGATGCATGCCTACACATTATAAAAACGCCGCTGCCGCGCTGCAGTCGCGTTACTAACGCCCTAATGTGAAAGCGCTCTATATTTAAACTTATAATAAATCTGTAGAGAGGTAAATTCTGTACATGAAATATATTTTCAAAATAACTATCAGGGGGTGATTAGTGATCGATACTGATGCCAAAAATGCAATCAGTATTTTTGACTGTCTGTCTGTCTGTATGTTCCTTATAGAAACAAAAACAAAAACTACTGATTTTAACGAAACTTGGTACAATTATTCTTCGTACTCCTGGGCAGGTTATAGTATACTTAGGAATTCCCACGGGAACGGGAATTAGCGGGAAAATTATTTTCTATGAAAAATCTAAGCCGCTTAAGTTAGACGCTTGAAATTTGGCATGCAGGTATCTTAGTAAACTTAAAGCTTAGTTACAACAGGATATTGCAAAATACCCACGGGAACGGGAGTTAGCGGGAAAAAACATTTGTATGAAAAAATCTAAACCGCGTAAGATAGATGAAGGGGGTAAAACGGGATCCACGCGTACGAAGTCGCGGGCGGCCGCTAGTCATAAATAAGATTTCGTCACCGCGCGCATCCTAGCCTGGCTGGTCAAAAGAGATTGGTGGATATAAATGTCTGGTGCTTGGCGATGACACTATACGTGGGAGATGCCAGTGTCTAGTGTATCCATCGTCAATATTTATGTACATGATTAGATAGCTATTAAATCTATACTAATATTTATAATGCTGAAGAGTTTTTGTTTGTTTACTTGAACGCATTAATCTCAGGAACTACCAGACCCATTTGAAAAATTGTTTTGTGTTAGATAGCGTATTCGAGAAAAGTAGCACATCAGCCAATAGGGGCGGCGTAGTAAAGAAAAATGGGCACAGCTAGTCTAATATAATCTGATAGTGATATATTTACTTGTTCCATCCACGACGGTTCCATCTTCCTGCGGGGCACCTTCTTCTTGGCCTCGCTTTCCCGATACGCATTGGTGGTGTCCATGGAGCTGAGGTCATCAGGGGTACTCTTGTCCCAAAACTCAGTTGACGTCTGGAAACCAAGAATTTATAACAATAAATTTATCGATAGGACAATAACAATCGGATTAGGATGTCACTTTTTATTTTCTAAAATGTAGGTAATTTCATCGAATCGTATTGGTTGTGGTTTAACGTTAGGCGTAAAGCTATTCATCATTAGCGCTTTTTTCCGTCGGGAAAGGTTTTGCGCATACGTCGATGGGGACTGACGTCAGAAGGGCGGGTCCTACCCATTAAAACCCGACACTGTTCTTCTAGGCCAACGAAATCCATTCTTAGGGCCGCTCCTTGCTATGGACTGGGCTGAACATTTAGAAAGTAATGTAATAAGAAGTTCAACTTCTACATATTATTATAGTACTTAACCTCTCAGCCCCCAAGCGGTAGCCGGCTACCGCGTAACAATTGACTATCTATTGTCTGGATTCGCGGAGCTTGAAGGATTAAGATTAATATATCGAACTCACCCGGAATCTCCGACCCTTTTTGGGGTCTCCGCTTTCTTCAGCGCTGCCAGACTCAGTCTTGAAGAAGGAAGAATAGAAAGATGAGTAGCTAGACTCTCCATCAGTCCTGTCGACACCCTCGTCGCTAGTGCGCATTTTCGAGTTCGGGCTCTTGGATTTTACGTTCCTGTTCTGTATAGAGTCAGGCACCGCTTCTGTGCTCTGGTGAGTTAAAGGATACCCTGTTGAATCCTCAATGGTTACCAAGCATTAAAGTCACATTTCTCGCCGTATGTGAACATTCATACATCGCGAACAGATTTGCTGTCCCGACTTACATAAGTGTTGAGCAAGTGAATTCGTGAACACATAACAGGTAACATTTCGCACATGCTGTTGCAAGTGAATTTTATTCGTGTAATAAATTTTGCACGTGACTTAAAATCAATAAGATTCGATTCCGAGAATATACCTTTTTGTAATGTAAATTACTTGTATGCATTCTGTTGCTGTAGCTAACTAAATAAATATCTTAATTTATATTTTTAAATCGTGTTTTCACGCGGAGTTTGTTGCTAACGACGGTTTCAGAATCAAACCTTTAACATTTAAAGTAATATAACAGTTCAAAATGAGCCATACAAGTTGAACTATGAAGTAAGCAATCAAGACTCAATCGAGACTCGTCTAAGTCTCAATCGAGTACTCAAAGTCGACAACAACAATAATACACCTATTATAGTTTTCAGATTTGCATATAATGTTTTTAAATAAAAATATACTACCTTCTGCTGCTTGTTTTGACTCCACGTGTGTAATATGTGTACCTGTATTGCGTTGTATTAGTGTTTGAGTGTTGTAACTTAAACGTGAGAAGTTTTTGCTGAACTGTTTAGAGTCGAAATAACTGTTATTGTAGTTGACATGTTGGGTAAACTCCGTTACTTACCTTACATCAAAATTTTGTACGAATTTACACACAACACACGCAAGCCCAATTGCATGACAAAAATACCTTAGGGTCCTTAGGACTGTTACTATTCGTCGCTGATCGCGCGTCAGTGATATATCTGTCCATTTTCCTATGAGCACTCAGATTACCGCATTTCTTTTCGCCAGACTCCTATATATGTGTCAAAAAAGAAGCATCTAGCTTATACAAGGCTTAAAACTACGACTAAAATTAAAGAAACAAAGAAAAACATCAAAATTTGGAGACCATGATAATACCAGGATAAAAATAAATAATAAATAATCTCCTGTGAAGTATTCAAATAAAGTTAACGTTAAAACCATAGCAACACACCAGCAACTCTGTTCGACTTTCATGATTTTACGGGGTAACGGCCAATCTAGTGTTTAGACTAGTTACCGTGTTTCATTACAGTATCTTTTCTGCGACCTCCCGATGATAATTTATAACAAAATGACAGTTGTCGTGAGAACCCCGGCGAGCGACGTCTAGTGAGCTTTTCGTCGCATTTTGCTCGTACCATGCAAGGAAAACGTCTGGTTCCTGCGTCGTATCTAATACTTACTCAAACATCATCATTACGAATCAAATGTAAAACCCCAAATGCAAGTTAATTAATCGAACAAAATCACTGATGCAAATACGTAAAGCTCGTTAAATTAGCGCTGCTTTTGACTGAATAAAAATAATAATTATTACGTGCGAAAAAAACATAACGTCTATTTGTTACCATAAGTCTCACTTTGTTTCAAATATTAGGCACTTATTAAAACTACTAGTATTAGCATGCTGTCAAAGTTCATGCGTTTTACAGTTCCCGCTACCGACTCGTAGTGTTGTGCGTATAGCATCCTTATATTTGAAACAAATGGGTAAAACTTTAGGATGTGTTGTCGTACCCGGTTGATGGCGCTGGTGGAAGTCATACTATCGGCGCTGCCGTGATCGGTTTTGGAGGAGGCAGCCTGAGATTCGCGTTTTTTGTCCCTCCACCCGCCGCCGCTTTTCGTGAGCCTTAGTGGCACACTGGGCTTACACGCCTGCATGTATCACGTATCCAATCAGATAAGCGTAAAGCTAGAGTAGTAATGCGGTTAAGCGTGGGTGTAGCGGCGTATGTGTCGGTGTGTCTTTACTTAAAGCTAGCCTAGCTGTGTCGCAGTGATGTTTACAGTGTGTCAGTATACTATTGATACCTTGTTCCTTTATAAAAATAATGTATCTTTGTAACCGTAAAAAATAAGGATCACGAAAACATAATTTTATTAATGACGTCTCAAAAGTATACTAAGCACACTGTCCAGTACTAGATTTTTACGGAATTAGTATATATTAACTAAATTAATAAAAAGAAAAGATATTTATTTGTTAACTGTCCCATGCATGACCATACACTTTTATAAACTAATAAATACAGGATGTGGTTTTGTGAAACAACGCCCATCTCAAGGGTGATAGTACACATGAAAGTAATTACAAAAACTTTCGAGACGGCGCTTGTTACCGCCCGCACCACCCCCACGTGCCCCGCTGCACCACCGAGCACACGCGGCCGCCGCCCCGGGAGAGCGGGGGTCTGACCGATAGCTCGCATGCGTAATAATACCAATTTCCTGATTTCATGGATTTTTACATGAAAATTTAAGGTTTTTTTGACATCAGTGTCGTGTATACTACCACCCCTGATGGGAGTTGTTTTACAAAACCACACTCTGTATCCATAGACTTAAATTAAATTACCTGAATTTGTGACTTAAATTATAAAAAATTGCTTCAGACGTTTTGCATTGATGAACATAAAAATATATAACTTAAATAAAAGCAAAATACATACGGTGTATTATAACTTATACACCACTAAATTTTTATCACCGAAAAAAAAATTCTGGGTAATGAGTTATTGATACTGATCCCATTTGTGCAAAAAAAGAAGTTAAATAAAGTGACTCAAAATTAGAGATGAAACGGATATCCGGTAACTATCCGGTAGGCCGGATATCCGGCCTAAATTTACTATCCGGCCGGATACCGAATAGTAGCTCACTATCCGGCCGGATACCGGATATTAAAAAACTACGACAATTTCCTATTAATAAAATGAAATACATTAATCTTTGAGATAAATATAAATTAAATGGCTTATAATACTGACGGCTTTTATCTTAAGTTCCAAAACGTTACAAAAAAGCCATATTAAGGCCTTTCAAAAAACTAATTTGTTTTTCTGAGCTATTCACTCTAATGACAAATACATAAATAGTTCGTTCGTTTCAGCCAAATGACGTCCACTGCTGGACAAAATACATAAATAGTAAATAGTAACATACATAATAAGACATAAATAGTAAATATCTGTTAATGTCGAAATATTGCCAAATAAAATAGGCGATGTTTTTTCACTTGTGGTCTGTGGGCTGAGTGTGAGTTTACATTAAACGCGCTCACTAGTGAGCGCGTTTGATGAAAACTCACACTAGGCCCTCTGATGACATGATGCAGTTCAGTCAGATTACGCAGCAAGTAAACTAATTATTTTAATTTTCGCTATTCAATCACACACGATGGCAACCGAAATCGCCCGAATTGATCTGCCCCCTAGACAAGTGGCAAAATCTGACATTCTATTCGGACCTCAGATCATAGAAAGGGGAAACCTTCTATGATCTGAGATTCGGACAGATTCAATTTTCAAAAAGTTTGACTAGTCTAGTCTACTAATAGACCCACTGGTCGCGTTAGAAGCACCTGTGCGGCGCTAAACTCGTCACGACATACAACGAGACAATAGGCCAACTATCCGGCCGCCGGATATCCGGCTATCCGGCCTAGCAGCTGGCCGGATATCCGGTATCCGGTATCCGGCCAAACAACTATCCGTTTCATCTCTACTCAAAATTTCCTCCTAAAATTGGTAATTTATGGACACATGCGTCGCTAGCACTATTTACGTACGATAATGTAACACATATTAGAATTCAGAATGGTCTAAGTTAGCTAAGTATGTAATAATAACACTGAGAGTCGCGAGAATCCACAATTTGATTAAAAAAATAATTTTATGAAAAACATTTCTTTTTCTTTTGCTTTAAATATTTCACACGTTTTTACAAACCTGTTAAAATTTTTTCGGTGATAAAAATTTAGTGGTGTATATAAAAAGTTCTCTTAATACGCTACTACTTACTATAAAATTATGTATAAGTCCTAGTTGTATGCCCTATCTATAACCCCTTGAGCGACCATGAGTATACTAGTACGTAATACTATTTCTACGAGTAGTAGAACCACTTAACTTTAATTTATACCCCATAGTTGTTTTTTGTTATATTGTTAGGGGATTGATTAAAAATTATAATGAGAGAACATTTTTATATGAATTATACAGATATTTACTGCAAAGAATCGCAATGTGGCAAAAATGAGTACTTGACACTTGGTTTAAAATATCATTTAATAAAAAATAAAAACACGCTTAGAAAACTGCTGCAGATTAGCAGATTCATAATATAATGTCGAAAACTATTTGATAGGCCTAATTATTTTAATTTGTACGTAACGATACCGTTCAATTGAACTATTATTCTATTATACATAACTAAGATCATCATACAAGCAGCGCGCTTCTAACAAATTAATCAAAAGGCTACCATCGTCAGATAACAAAAGAAATTTAACGTTCTGTCAATTTTTAAAACTGTCAAAAAATATTCTTGAGAGAACGAAATGACGATTCAAAATCGGCCTTTGAACAACTAGGCGCTGCTATATTAAACAAAAAAGTGATCTTTAGAACTTTAACGAATTACAAGTAATTATTTTACATGACTATACGAACCGCGGATCTAAATGCACTAAAAACTTACTGACTTCAAGCCCACATGAGCTGACGTATACTCGCTTAACGGACAACGTAAGCAAATATTTTAAATAAACCGGTAATAAATTGGGTACCACACCAGTACACCACTAAGAAAAATCGGATATGAGTGCTAGAGAGCCGCGTGACTCGGAACGTAACGTCAACATCGTGCGATAAGAAACGGTATAAGGCGTACTTTAGGTTCGGTTGCCAAGTCGCGAGAATCCACAATTTACGGTTAGTCGGTAACACAAGTAGAAATAGAAGAAAGTTCGAAGTCTTCTAGTCGACTTTGAGTCAATGTTGTCAATTAAAGTTTGGCCGCCATCAGGCGCACAAGAACGTAGGTAGAGGTGGTGTCATCGAAGACTACCTCGTGGAATCTGCAAAGGATATAAGAACATAAATATCGACTACATGTGATTTATCGTACAGTATCGGAACGCGTGATAGACCACTTGAACCTATCGTAGAATCTCGAAGATCGGGAAAACTGAAAGAAATGTTAAACTTATGACCATTGCAATTAGGATAAGTTCGAAGTAGAATTTCGATATGAACACTGTCATTTAAACAAGATACGGGGAATATTGATGCATAACATAAGATGCAGACTTGTTGTAGTAAAATTTCCGATCCTTAAACCTACAAGTATCCATCATAACTTCAACTAACCGAAGCCCTAAAATACTAGCAAAAGAAATCACCATCAAATCCTAAAACAAATATTTATGTAAAAAAGCGGCTGTTAATAGATACAAAAAAACATGAGTTAAAACCACACAATGAGTTGAGCATGAAATTATGTGTGATGTGAGGCAAGCATGATGTGTGGATAATTTTGTCTATGGGCGAAGCGAGACTTGTATGCGATTGCCAGCTTACCTCTTCGTAGTTGCTTCGCGTGAGCCCGAGAGGGTTCAGCGAGTTTGTGTATTGCATGGTCTGTTGGGCCATCATGGTCTGTTGGGCCATCATGGTCTGTTGCACGGGATACGAAGGCGCGACGGGCGAGTACATGAACGGAGACCCGTACATTGCTTGACCATACATCATGCATTGCACTGGAAAATAATAGTATTATTATTACATGGTAAAATCATTTTAAATTATGGTACATCGTATCAAGTATAAATATTTATATAAATATCATTATAATATGATATAAAATAAAAGTTTCGATTTTTTTCTATGTATAAAATTAAAATATCATACGAACCTACAGCTGAAAACATCAAATGAAATTTTATAGGCGGTGGAAAGGTCTATCATCATATGTATTAGATGCAAGAAAATGAGTAAGTACTCATCACGAAATTTCAAAGTCAAAGTCAAAGTCAATTTTTTTTTATTTGTTTAGACTAATAAATAGTTCTTACAAATCGTCATTTTGCTCTTAAGGAGCCTCTACATGACTCATAATCTTTTTACCCTACCAGCGCTTCGAGACCAACATTTGGCAAGTGCTGAGAAGAAGCGCCGCAACAAACTCAGTCACCACTGTCTGCAGAACTTTTCAGAAACTACATTGCTAGGAGTCTCAAATTATGCATGGAGGTTCCTTTTAGAACGTAGGTGCTCACTACGACGCGATTTTGCAAGGAGGTAAAACGGGGTCCACGCATGCTAAGTCGCGGGTGGCTGCTAGTTACGTTATAAGATAAAGTTAAATATAAGTACTAAGTATACTTACTAGTAGGAGGCGGTGGGTACTGTGGGTTGCTTTTGTTAGGGTCCTTTGTGTTGTCCGAAGTACTCGGCATGGGTGTAGACTGTGGAGGCGCGTAGTACATAGGAAACACGCCTGGAAACACACAAGTTGTTATTCAGAATTGAACTTTATTTTTGACGAGCTAAGGCTTATAATATTCAACTGTAATTGAGCACATAAGACCGAATCAAAATAGGTAATATAACGGTATGGAGAATCTATTGGCACAAATAATAAACAAACAGCCATGATGCATGATATCTGTAACGCACCACTGATTCGAGCGTGAAAATGCATATTAGATGACCTACACTGAACTATCTCACCAAATTCATTGACAGGGGGGCGTTACCATCGTTCAACTTTATAGTTTCCAACATGGCGAAAATCGGAACCAGCGATCCGGTATTAACGGTTGCGCCCTGCTGTCAATGACACGGGTAGTACAGTTCAACATATTGGGACTTTACGAGAAAATTCAAGAGCTGAGACGAAAAAAGGATAGAAAAATGTATTATTAGTCGTCGAAAACAGAATGGCGTTTCTTGGTGCCCAATGTTGTGCGGCCAGTAGTTACCTAGTGTAATATTCGATGTTTGAATATGAATGCGTATACGTTACTTCAACAACCGAAAAAAAAACGTGTTTTATGTGTTCCTGAATAGTGTCAGTGTGAGTACCATATATACCTCAATCACAGAATAATAATAAGATTTTAGTTCTTGAAAGTTTCCGTTAGGGGCACTGTACAATCCGTCATACAATGTCACTTTTTTATGCAGTCGACTTCATAACGGTAGCGGGAAGGCGCTGGATGCAGGCCGCCACCAACTGGCCATTGTTTAAAACATTAGGGGAGGCCTTTGTTCAGCTGTGGACGTCCTATGGCTGAAATGATGGTGATGATGAAAAACTAATGCTAAATTACCTGGCATGCCTGGCATAGCCGCGACTTGCTGGGACATGACCGGGCTCATGAGCTGCATCTGCTGCGGGATGCCGACGCCCAGTATGAACGTGTTCATGTAGTTCATGTTGTTCACCGCGTTAGGGTGCCACTGAGAGGCGGCAGCTGGAAGACAAAATTGTTAATGAAAACTAATGAAAAGTTGCAGACATAGCATAGGTAAAAAGCTGCAGACATAGCACAAACGTTGACGTTCATAAGTGCCACTTGTGGTCTAAACTGAATAAATATTTTTGATTTTGTTATTTAGTGCATCTGCACAAAAAACCTACTCTGTGTTGTCTGCGTTTCAGCCTAGGCCTTTTACCTCACACTCACATACTTAATATAGAGGCGATTGGTTAAAACGGGACTATTCCCACCTCTCTTTCCCACCGCTGCAACTCATGTGTAGCCAGGATCTACAGCTTGACCGCAAATAAAAACCCAACCAGTGAAGGTCAAGTTTGTCCCGCGGAAAAGTTAAACTGACATTGGACCCGCAATGAGGATCATTTCGATTTTTAGCTGTGAATGCAGATTTATAGGGCTAAGAAATCCTTAATACACAGTCAAAAAATTTTTGTTCTACGACAAAAATTGACGAAGTTATGGCCAAATTACTAAAAAAGTTCACTGACCGCCCGGCGCGTCGATAGGTTACTTTATTTTGATGAATAAATGTTATTAAAAGTTTTATTCTAAAACTGATAGTTTAGCTGGAAAAAAATATTTTCCATCCCAATAGTACGCCAGCTGCGCTCGATTCGGATATAGTGACGTCACGCGGCCCTGCGTACGTTGACTTTTAGCGGTAAAAACGGCCTATGTTTATTACTTAATATTTTCGTAAGTAATGGTCCGATTTGGATAATTCAAAAAGATATATCTTTTTTATGTCTTAAAGATTAACGTAGATACTAGTTTTATTGAATTTTCTACAACAGTACTGATCCTCATTAATCAGAAGAACATAGGAGGAGTTAGAAGTTAAGATAGGCGCTTGGTCAGTGTACTAAGTAAAGATCATACCTTAACTTGGTACACTTACCAAAACTATCGGCCTGCTTCAATGCTCGCTTGTTCCCAACACTAACCGACAGGAATAGTGATGGTGGCGGACGGCTGCGTGGTCGCCGCGGTGGTCACGTGACGACAACGCGGCGAGGGCGAGGGACAGTGGTGCTTGAATAAAGCAGGTATCCGTCTGCTTCGATGTCGTGTAGCCTTGGTATTAACATATTCCCAACACTAACCGACAGTAGTAGTGATGGTGGCCGACGGCTGCGTGGTCGCCGCGGTGGTTACGTGACGGCGGCGGGGTGTGCGCGGCGACGGGCAGTGGTGCTTGTGCGACACGGGATCGGTATCCGTCTGCTTTGATGCACGCTTCATGCCGTGCGGCTGTAAACACGGCCATTTTAAGTAACAAATAAGACAATGTAGTCATCATCATTAAGTCAAGAAAAACTAGAAGATAGAATAGCAGAAGGAGAGCAAAGAAGAACTTATGTATGCAATTTAAAGAACAAGTAAATTCATCAGTGTGCTTAACATGGGTTTACTTGGTGCTCGCTAGTGAGTACTTACGTCAAAAAATCTATGAATATTTTAGCTAGGGGTGCTGTACAATCTGTCATACATTTAATGACATTTTTTTACGTACTCGTTAGCGCGGACACCTAACGTAAACTCATGGTAAGCACACAGGGCGTTAACTTACAAGCTACAAGTGTACCTAGTTGAAGTTCACATAATATTTTTAAATGCGTTTGAAAATCTGGTCTAAAATCAAAAACATCCAACTCAACAAAACCACAAAACATGTGAATTTTCTTTTCCTGGCAACAATAAAGGAACTTCAACAAAAATAGCAGTCACGTGCGATACCAAACAAAATTACTTGAACTTGCGTCAAATGTGACTTCATTTAAAAATAACGGGCGTGATTGAATAAACCCTCGTGCGGACGCAGTTAGCTAAAGGGCAAACAAACTTTTCTTTTTGTTCTAATGAATTAGGGAGTAAAGGTCACGCAGCAAGTAGGGGAATTCTTATTCACGTTTTCCTTAAAGGTCAAAAGTTACCGCAACGAAAAAGAAAATAAAATTGAATTGTGCCAAAAAAGTTGTAATAGTCAATTGGGTTGTATAAGTTTTGATAACCTGCCTCATAAATCCTACAGGTAGTACGTAGGACTCAGCAACGTCGTAAAGATTTTTGACGATAATATCCGATACCTTAAAGTGTATGAAGCTTAAACTCAAATTATCCCAAAGAAGTTGTAAGGAACTAATTTTAAGTTGTAGTACCTGATTAAAACTCAAACCCCCTTATTACAAAACCCGGCGCGCTTAAAATGCCATTTCCATACATGCCCCTTATTAATAAAAAGTTACACCCTAGTTTTTTTTTAATGACAACCAAACCTCTCTGTGAGGTTTTCTCGGATTTTTTAAAATTTATTTTGTATGAAAATTAAAAAAAATAAAATGATGATATGAAATTTCTGACTTCACCATACCATTTATATGCCCATGTTAACATGGGCTAGTGTCGGCTCATATACCCATTTACCAAACACCCTGTATATAAATTAGAATTTAAATTAGTAAAACAAACGAACCTTCCTTTCTACTATTGGCTCCAGCGCCAAAGTGCCCGAAGCTGCGGGCTGGAACGAAGCATTGCAGCGAGCCAGATGCTCCTTCTTCTTCTGTTTCTTCTCAATCGAAGACTTCTCCTTCTCTCCCTTGCTACAGGACCGAATCTCGCGGTGAGCTCGCACAAGCTCTCTTTCCATTTCACTATTGTGCCTGTAAAGGAAACGCATTTAATAAAAATACCTGTTTTCTGTAGTTTAGTCAAAAGACAATGCCGGAAATTGGCGTCTTTTTTTTTTCGCGCGGCCATCGACCAAACTTTGTTTTTTGATTACAAAATAGTGTAATAAACCAAACTTACTATGACATGTATACTTCTAAACTCAGTCTGAACTGAGTTACGAGCGTTAGAAGTTTGATGATTTACATACTAGATTTGCTTTTTGCGCGCAAGTTTTGTTAGAAATTGCAACAAAATATTGACATGTATGTGTAAATGTATGTGTAAACCAACAATACCATCCATTAAAGGCTCCAGACATCAGTGTGGAGCAGAATAAGCGCAATAAAAAAATTGCGCAATATTTTGTTGCAACTTCTTAAAAGCAAATCTAATATGAAAATCATCAAACTTCTAATGCTCGTAACTCGTATACATGCCATAGTAAGTTTGGTTTATTACACTATTTTGTAATCAAAAAACAAAGTTTGGTCGATGGCCGCGGAAAAAAAAAGACGCCACTTTCCATACAAAATCTGGCATTGCCATTTAAAACAATCAGAGGGACGTATTTCAGTGTGACAATTAAATTAAATATTGAACAGTAGGTATTTAAACAAGTCAAAGCCTAAATCAGAGTAATCAGGTGAGATACAGGCCAAGAGTTTCCTCGTTGTGGATAAAAAAAACAAATGAGTAGGTCATCTTCATAGAAACGCACCGAGCGCGGTTTGTATGTGAGCGCGCTCCAATACGTATGCGGCGCGCAAGCACACACTGACAAAATTCGGCGCAACACCCCGCTAATCCACGCTAAATTTTGTCAGTGTGTGCGTGCGCGCCACATACTTATTGGTCCGCACCAATAAGTATGTGTCACATGCAAACCGCGCCCGGTGCGTTTCTATGAAGATGACCTACTCATTTGTCTTTACTCTGCCTAAATGAATATAAACCCAATTGCTGAGTACTAACCGGCATCATTGGTATCATAAATACTACAATCTTTGGTGTGTTTTCAGTTTTAGTATCAACAAGTACCTACCTATTAAATAAAATAATTCACTCGTAAAGACGAATGATCAAAAAGGCAACCTTTTTTAGATATTCCCGTACCAGCGGCGGCGATAATATTATTATAGTGTTTATACGGACCTGATCAAAAGCGACTCGGTAAGCCTCACAGGCTGGTAGTCTCCTAGAGGCGCCGCGGGACTGCCGACGCGCGCTGTTAGCCCACTCTCACAAGAGCTATTGAGGTCTGCGGAGTCCCCGGAATGTTGTGCCATTGGCGACATGCAATTACTAAAAACAGAAATTGTTACACTGGCGACTTCGAACTTTGACCTTTTAAATGAAGTGCGTGGTAGCCTAAAGTAGTTTACTTTCGTATTTTAGGGTTAATTCTGATCTTATACTTTTGAAATATCCTAGATTTTTTTCTGGTGTAGATACAGGTCACGCAGCAAGAGTTGAAGCGATGAACACAAGCAAATCTTTTTGTACAGATAAACTAAAAGATTACGACAACGGCTTGCGAATTGCACTGATTTCTTTGTTCTGAATCAAAATAATTATAACATTAGTGTGTACGCCTTAACTTTCGTTACGCGACCTATAATAACTAGCTACCTACCTAGATAAGTAACCATTTTCTAAAGAAATGACTTTTACTTATTCCATTATGCCTGAGTTCAGCAATGGTCAAATCAATCTATTTTCTAACTAGCTGACCCGGCGAACTTTGTTCCGCCTTAATGGCAATAAATAACGGGATAAAAAGTATCCTATGTCCTTCTCCTGGCTCTAAACTACCTCCCTGACAATTTTCAGCTAAATCGGTTGAGCCGTTCTTGAGTTATAAGTGGAGTAACTAACACGACTTTCTTTTATATAATAGAGATGCCTATTTACAGTCTATTTTCTAATGCCTATTTACTTTTTGTCTGTTTGTAAATTTAGTTTCAGGGTTAATTAAGAATTAACAAACTTTTGTAATTCAGTTTCGTTCATTTAGTTTCATTCAGTTTCGTTAATTTCGTTCATTTACGAAGAGAAACTGACAATTATTGAGATCATGAAATACCTACAACACACAGAGAAATTGAGAGATTGCAGCTCAACTGTTTTTTTTATTGACATTGACACAATAACGTGACTACATTGACACAAACACGAGACGACATCTATAGATGAACCACGCTGAACTGTCCCACCAAACTCAATGACAGGGGGACGCTACCATCGTTCAACTATATGGTTTCCAATATGGCAAAAATCGGAACCAGCGATCCGGCATTGATGGTGGCGCCCCACTGTCAATGTCATGCATAGGACAGTTCAGTGTTTTGGAACTATACACATGTTAGGTATATCTTGAGAATGCTGAGATCCACAAGAGATTTAGTGCGGTCCATGGTAGGTGCGTCGTGGTTTGCGCAATTTAGGCCGCGGCATTATTGCCAATGACACGAAAGATTTGAGGCTCTATCTGTGAAGAGATAGATCATTACTGTTTCTAGTCTCGTGATATGGTGCGTCTCTATCTATAATAATGTTATGATTTCCAAATACAGTCAAAATGCAGAAGGCTTAAAGAAGATTAATATAACATCATCAATTTAATTTTAAGCGTTTTCTTATTGCTCGAACCCTTCTTCATATTGATATAGTGTCTCCCTTATAGGGGAGAGTTCGGTATACTATACCGCCGGGTAAATTGTACCACCCTCATATTTCGTAAAGTATTTATTGAATGTCTGTAATTGCAACACTCAGCGATAAGCAACTAAATTCATTAAATATCGGTCATATGGTTTTTGCCGTGACAATAAACACGTGTTTTTTTTTTTCATTGGTTTCATGTAACTTTTGAAAATGCATGTTTAGTTTGTAATTTTGTCAAATTTAATCACACAGTGTTTCTAATTTATTATTTAGAAGCTTAAATTAATGTGGATTACAATTTTATTTGAAACATTTTTCGGTATTTATCGGCAATATTTTAGTCGATTTTTTAAAAGTACCTACTATTACCTAGTCGGTTAAATGCAATTTTACCAAACGATGTTTTGTAGTAAATCATATTTTGATATTAGCATAATTATGTTTGACTTAACAAAAGACTGTAAAGTAAGATTAGGTACAAGTTAGTGCGAGTTGCGATAATTGGAATCATAAAACTTGTACTCAAAATCGTGATAATTTGTAAAATAATATCGATTGTCTATGTTTTTAACTACTATTCCATTTTGTTACCTAATTTGTTAAGAATGTATCGTATAATATTTAGCCATAGTTTTTTCATAGGCTTGAAATTTATTGAAATCCTATTTAGTTAGTAACCCTGTGGTACAAATTATCGAACCGGTTGGCTAAATTGGACCTAAGCTCTGAACTCATATTTTGTTGATTTGTATTAAATATAGAACTATCATGTTGATTAATATGTATGAAATATGAAGTTGAATAATTTCTCTTTTATTATATACCTACCACGGACATTATCAAAAACAAAAGAAAACTATGTTTGTGTAAAATGGGATTCAAAAAAACTGGTCCAAATGACCGGACTCTCCCTTACCTACGGTTTTAAGTCCTTATTTCCTCCTCCTCTGCATACTCGGCGTCATCTGCACCTCACCTTACACCATCAGAATTGCAGCACCCACATTTTACTCCAAAGCTATAAGTATAGGTCGCTCAGCGAGAGTTGAGGCGATACACACAAGCAGATATTTGTTTGTGTTTATGTATCTTTAAATACGCTTGCCACCCTGACTAAAAGTCGGTGGACTGCTCCTAGGCTGAGGATCGGGCTCATGTATCGGCCGACTAAAAGTCTGAAGTCTGCGACTAAACTTAGCAAGAGCGAGTTAACTAATGTATTCGATATTTGAATGTGTAACGTATTGTGTGTGTTCCTGTACACTCGTGTTCTAATGTAAGTACGTATTCGCCTCAACATCTCAACTTTTGCTACTTAGTTTCCAACGAATTCCTATCCAACATCATAAGGACGTCAGTCGATTTCAGCATAAAACTTTGAAAACTGCGTCACAACATTATTACGTGTGGTTTAACCGTTGACGAACTCAGGCCTTGTAACTTTTCAAAAATTTTCAAAAATTCATTACATAACATGCCGCTTAAACAAAAATCATTTTCCTAAATTGCTAGCCGATGAAGGCTACGTCTTGTAAAACATTTATTTTGCTATTTTAATGTTAGACTAGTACAATCAGCAGTCCAAAGGCATAGTGAAACTGACGGTATCCTAATAAATGGCTTTGTTAGAAGCAGTAAACATTAGTAAGAATAATATGCAATGAGTAACTTACGAAGAAATTAGCTTTTCTTTGAGACCGAAAATGTTTTCTCCGACAGCCGTATTGTAGTCCTCGTATGAGAAGGGCTGGTGACTATCGAAGTATCTAGAATATTACAGAATCCAATTGAAGTGATTGTTGGTTTATCCAAGTAAGTGTTATTTTGTTAAATAGTAAGTTTTGGGACAAACCTTTGCAAGTTCTCATTGTAATTTAACTGTGCGTAACTGAGAGGTGTCTCAGTGCTGGACTTGCTGTCATTGTACTCGTGATGAGGCGATATGCCACCAAGCATAGAGTCTCGCTCCTGCAACAATAGTTACATTTTAGTATTGCAAAAACTAATACTCAAAAATAAAATACTATGACTCTATCTATGCCATCAACAAGTAGTATTATTATTTATTGCAAATCCAAGATGTAATTTGTGTTGTTTTCAAAATGTGTTACAAGTGAGGGGAGGCCTTGATTAAAGGATAAATTAAAAAGCATGATTGGTAATTTTTGTTATTCACGCAACAAAATAAAATACAATACAATAATATGTTATTGTAACAAAGTAAATGATACTAATCAGACTTTTGGTTTTTATCGGAAATAAACGAACTTTATAAATTATGAAATTAATCGCTACAAAACTGTTTAACACAAAAAGACATGTAATAAAGTTAAGAATTAACTAACATTAATAAAATTACTCAGTCATTTAAATTCAATGGCAGTTCAAACTTCATACACTTAAAAGTAGTAAAGAGAACACTTAGGCTGAGTTGCACCATCTTACTTTAACTTTTACAAACTTCAAAAATCTGTCAAAATCCATAGAAAAAGCATCGGTTAATGTTATTGTTACGGTTAAAATAAGATGGTGCAACTCAGCCTGAGAAACACTTAAAAATAGGAAATAGGTGTCCCAAAATTAGCACGTCATACTGACACCGGTAGGTGGACATGAGACACATCCAAAAAGCCTAATATGTTTCTAGAAAAATTCCATGAGTTACGAGATATGAACAATTTAATTAATAATGTCCTTAAAAAAGTTTTGTGAGTATTGTAATGTGACCAATTCTATATTATTTTTTAAAATGGACTTAATAGACTTCGATAGATATCAGTGTGACGTGCTAATCTTGGCACATCCTTTTGCAATCTTTAACCTAGGCGCAGACCATCGATTTTTCGTTGGCCGATAGTTTAGTCGGGCAGTTGATCGTATGGGCATGTATGGAAGTGCGCACATTACACCGATTTGATTTGGCCGATTCTTCATACAAATTAAAATCAGGCCCAACTATCGGCCAACTAAAATCGGTGGTCTGCGCCTAGTCTCAATCAATATTCATAATATTGACTTTGAATGCTTTGAGCTTAGTCAATCGCTGGATAACTTCATATCGACTTTCTCCTGCCCGCGTGGTTTACGTCGTCCTTCGCGGGTGAAACGGGCAGATTTATGATTATCTAAAAATTACAAATATGTCCGAGTTAACTTTTAGGCTGAGTTGCACCATCTTACTTTAACTTTGACAAACGTCAAAAATCTGTCAAACTCCATACAATAAACACCGGTTATTACTACTATTACTACGGGTTAAATAAGGTGGTGTAACTCAGCCTTAGAGTTTTTAGCCCTTATTATTTAGACTTGAAAATCAATTTTCATTTTGTAAACAGTGCTTGAATCGTCAGTGGTTTTAATTTTCTAGACAATTTACAAACCATTTTGCATTTAAGATCTGTTTGTAATTTGAATAAATCTTATCGATAATTTTAGACGAAAAATGTACGGGTTTATGTAAATTGCTACGACGCTGTTTGTAAAATGTCAACTATGAAACTACAAATATATGACTAGATACAGTGATATTTGATACGGCCAAGGACTTCTTTGATTAGACGAGCTGTTAAGGCTGATATACAAGTATGAAGTTGTTAAGTAGGTAACTAAATTTTAATATTTTAAACTATTATGTTGCATCTTTTACTATACAATCAAATTATCACTCCACAGGATTTTACAACAAAATTTTTATAACGGTAAACAGTCTGCCCGCGACCATGACTGGAAACGTCGGGCGGGAGGGTAAATATCTTATTAGGTACGTACCGTTATAAAAGTTTTGTTGTAACATCCTGTGAAATTTAGTTTGTCACAGATCGTCATAAATTATAGCCTATAATTATTCTGGGTTATAAACAATAACACTGTAGTTTTATCGAAATCCGTTCAGTAGTTTTTGCGTGAAAGAGTAACAAACATACATCCATCCAGACATCCAAACTTTCGCATTTATAATATTAGTAGGATTTTACATGTAAACAGTCTTTAGAAGCATCTCTGTTACCTAAAATAACTTCATATCATGTGAAAAAATGCTCATGTGAATAAATAACATTTTATTAGTCACATAAAACGAATACATATCAATTTGTTAATAGATAATTATGCATTTAAAGATAAATATCTCAGAGCTTGTATTTTAGAAGTCTTTGGACATTATGTGACTTACATAAACACTACATCTAAAAGCAAATGATGAGCACAATAAAGAACCCCGCACAAAATAGTTGGAAAAAGCCGTTAGGTCACATGGACAATAATAAGGCACTAGCGTTACCTTTAATGTATCTTTTATGCTACTTACTATCCCAGTAAGCCTTAATCGGTACAACTACAAGAAAACTTACGCTTGGATTCTTTCAGTATAGTTCTTTTAATTCTAAAATTGTTAGTACCTTTAGGGTTAATCTCATCATTGTTTGTAATAATTAGCCAGATAGGTAGTTATAAAACATGATTGTTTCTATGACGCTTTTGTTCTCGCTGAAGGTCACCAAAAGTAGAAAGTTTTCTAAAAGTTATCATCGTGATTCAAAAATAAAACCTGTCTTAATACTGCTCAGCAGTCGATGCGATTTTACGCCTTCGATCATCGTGTTTAACACTACATTTTCTTAATTGCCCCAATACCCAAAGGATGATTCCTAAACATTTTGAGCGGGGTTTCTCACGATCAATTCTTACATAGTAGCTGTGGTCAGGGTCCTGTATCTCCAGACGGAGCTCATCATCATTCCAGGGCTGTTCCTCCATCAGGGTCTCCATGAAAGAGGCGATGTCCTGGCAGCGCTTTTTCATCCGCTGCTTAGCTGCTTCAGCCGGTTTAGTGAGTACCTGCAACAATGTATCTATGGTTAGAAAAATCCAACCAATTAATAGAATATGCACTTTCGAATAGGGTACACCTACGCTAATTTTGCATGAAAACTAGTCCTCAAGATGTGTATGCACCTTCCATCGAAGTTCTATGAAGCTGGAAACATTGAATTTTCGGATAGATCCAGTTTATTCTGTAACCTATTAAATTATTAATACCGTTTGATAGAGCTCATAAAGCACTTTCAGGAGCAGTAACTAGTTTTTTGATATCTTGTATAGTTTAGAAATAATCGAGTGAGATCACTTATCGTTTCCACCCTGTATAGCTGCTTCTATCAGTCTTTACAACTGAGTGAGATAGGTCTTTGCTGACCTCAATTTTTTAACTAAAACAAGACAATCTACTGCAAAATACTTGTTGAAACGTTTTTATATTAAGGGTAGTGAAAAGGGTGTCCTAGATGAACAAAGGCTCCGTTTACCTCATTCAGGATCTTGATGATTTTCTCTCGCATTACTTGCTGCTGTATCTTCTCATCTTCTGACATCTTTTGAGCCTTCTCCAGTTCAGGGGTTTGAAACACGTCTGGGTTGCTGGGCCCCTATAAAATGTTTGGAATAAAAACATGTTAGTTAACTTGCCCTTAAATGGTACACTATGTTGGTTAACAATTGAGACCAATGATACTATATATTTCTTACCTCAATAATGTGGTGTTTGCCGATGACATACTCCAGTTTACGCGACCAGGGGTTGATGAAAGAAGACCACTCAGTCTCAAGCTTGACGTAGAAGCCATTTTGGGTCAGCATCCTATAGAAAAACAAGAGATACGTTAGTAATTACATAATACTAGAAGATTGATTTGATTACAATTAACCTTGTTCATATGACGAATTTTTTAACATAGTCAATGGAATTTTAGTAAAAATGACCTGGCGGTATGCATACCGCACCTTGTAGTTAGGTCAACAGCTAAGGTCGCTGAATGAAATTCCGGAAAGACTAAATTTTGGTAATGAGCCTATGTTGGTATTTCTTATGCAGTAATAGGGTGTTTACTTTATTTATTTTACCGTGCTATACGGAATCTAGTCGCCAAAGTCATTTTGCTCGGGCTTGGCGATTGCTATGGGCGTTGAACTACTAAAATTAATATTAAATCAAACTCAAAGTAACTTACCTGTAAGGATTAGACCTGGGCAGTCTCCCTTCTTTCACGATAGTCTCATACACCTGGCGCAAATAGCACATGTCTTCAGGGTGGTACAGCCTAATGGCGTCTTCTCCCACCAGGTCTTGAGGCAGGTAACCCAGGTAGGGCACCGACTCAGGGTCTATGTACTCCAGATTGCCGTTGGCGGCGTGGCGCATCACAAAGGGCACGGGTTTACAAGCTATCTCGTTTGGGACTGGAATTGGAAGAATATTTTGATCTTAATATCTATCAATTATATCCCGAACGATATAAAAATCAACTGCCTCAAGTAGGACTTGATTCCAGGACTTTCTCACGACTGCTTTGACTTTCGAGCAAGTTGTTTACGTTTAAGCTTTCTAATGTGTTTTACATTGTGAGGCGGTAACACCCTGAAATAATAACTAATTAAGAACAATACTAATCCAATTAACCATAAAATAACTTAATTAACTGACTGAATACGTCCAAGATTGGACTGCTTCTGAGTGATTACAAAGTAAGTAAAAAGTACGAGTAAAAGAAACAATCCAAGTCTGTTTTTTTGGAATGTGTACCTTTAAACGCCGAATAAAAAGGAGTCGCTTGGATGACCAGGTAGATGATGCCTCCGTCTTCATCGCTGACGTTCTTGAAGGTTAGTTTCAGCAGCACCGGCATGTAGGTAACCATGCGTTCTTTGACTCCGAACCCGGTGGTCAGGCCCCGGTAGCGTCTGATGCGGCAGACCATAGTCGATATGGCGTTCTCTGGTGCTGGAACTAAAATACAGGTTAAAATAATAGAGATGGGCCAAATATAGCCTGTAGGCCACACACAAACTTTCAATTTATAATACTCTTAAGAAAGGCCTTTGGAAATTCTCTCATTCACTCGACAGCAAATAAATCGCACCACCCGCGACGTGAACTTTAAAGATTTTCTTATAACACAATAATGGTGCCCCAACAATATTGTGTGTTATTTGAAAGCCCAATAAATATCCTTAAAGAAAAACACATTTAATTTCTTAATAAATGATTAACATATACCATAAATGTGACTTGAAAAAAGACCTCACTTTGGGTTCACCTCTGGGATCAATTAGACCAAATTTAATGGTTATAAAACCAAATAATGATCACACGTGTCCTCTTTAACAGATGGATAGCGATTAATCCCAACTTAACAGTTTTATAGCCATAAAAGTTGGCTCAAGCGTAACCATAGCTGGGCACCGTTAATCAAATAGTTAACTTCGTTAATCGTTAAACCGTTAATAAAAAAATTAACTTCGTTAAACGTTAAAACGTTACATTTAGCAAGATTTAACGCAAGTTAACGTTAATCGTTAATCCGTTAACACATGATAATAAAACAAAAAAGTAATTGTGCAAGGTTCAAATAATTTCGAAAGCTTGTATCGCGCACTGAATTTATTCCTCTTTTATGTTTGCGCTAGGAGTATGAAGAATAATTGTACAAAGTTTTGNATAGCATTCTTTCACCAATGTGAAAGAATTTTTGTGTCCTTTCAAGATTTTAAACTTTCGCGTTCCACTTCAACTAAAAAAGACACGGGTCTTAACGAGACGTTTATTAATGAGTTACAATATGTACTCACGGCTTGACGTTTCGGCTGCTATGCTTTTTGTATCCTTTTCATACAAGTATTTAATGTAATGATATTAAAACGACGACGACGACGACCGGCGTAGGAAGCAGACGTGTCGCGCGTTTTGCTCCGTAATATTACTATTTCTTAAGTATTCGTTGCGCAGTGTTAGACTTTATCACCAGAAAATAAAGTATATTATTGTTTACGGCGCGGTCACCTGGCTTCGCCCCGCGCGAGCGAGACGTCCAACGCTGACGCATGCAAAGTGATAGTGATTACTGAGAGGCATCTCGTTCCCTCTCGCGCGAGTGCGTATTGTGTGTGACAGCGAGCTCCGATTATCTGGTTGTGTCTTCACTCAGTGCAGGCGCACCCAACAACACGTTCACGATGAATAATAACTGTGCGGCCTGTCGTGCGAATATCGACAATGATGATTGCTTACAATGTTCGAGATGCAAGGACAATTATCACTATTTATGCCTCAACTATTGCACTTCCGACGACATCACAAGCGAACTTAAAGCTGGCTGGCTGTGCCCAAACTGTCTTAGTAAGCAACCTAAAGGCGATAACACGAATGACTTGGTTAGACCGTCAACACCTACGAGCCTTGCAGAAATAACGTTCGTTTCGACGCGTCGTAAGGGACAACAACAAAATAAACAAAGTATGGCTGCGACTTCTTGTTCGGAATGTGTTACTCGTGCTGAGTTAAGGAATATATTACGCGAAGAAATGAGACAGGCGTTGCAAGACAGCGTCACTGAACTCAACAAGACTTTAAACACTCGTCTTAGAGAACTAAATGAACAATACTCTGAATTAAAAACTGGAATCGATTTCATAAATGACCAGTTTGAATCTTTAAAATCGAGTGTTCAGACGCACACGGATGAGATAAAATCGTTGAGAAAGGAAAATGATTTTTTACGTTGTGAAATGATCTCGATGAATCGTCGATTGAATACAATGGACCAATTAAGCCGCTCCTGCAATTTAGAGCTGCAATGCTTACCGGAACATCGATCTGAAAATATTGTCAGCGTAGTCAAGCAGCTAGGACAGGTCGTCAATCATCCCATAAACGAAGCTGAGATCTTATATTGCTCGCGCGTCGCTAAAATGAACTCCAGCAGTACGAGACCGCGGTCTATTCTTTTGAGGCTGAGTTCTCCACGCATCAGGGACTCCCTTCTGGCGGCAGTAATTGGTTACAACAAGTCTCATCCCCACGACAAGCTCAACTCCAGCACCCTGGGTATAGATGACAAGAGGACACCCATTTTCGTGGCTGAAAACCTGAGTCCCGAGAACAAGAACATCCATGCTGCGGCCAGACTGCGAGCCAAGGAATTAAATTATAAATTCATTTGGGTTCGCGGGGGGCGTATTTTTATGCGGAAGTCTGAGAGCTCGGAATCTATTTACATTCGTGACACTGATATGTTGAAGAAATTAACTTGACTTAACTTTTTTTTTTATTGGTTTTGTTTTGTTTATGAATGTACTTGTCCTTACAACTGTATGAATGGCGTCTCTCAAAGTTTATTACCAAAATGTTCGCGGTATTCGTACTAAAACGTTAGATATTTACATTCACTCATCTCTATCTTATTTTGATATCATAGTTTTAAGCGAAACATGGCTACGTAGTGATATATTGGACTCCGAACTTTTTAACAATGATTTTTTTGTATACAGAAGGGATAGGGAGTCCAGCGGTTTTCATTGTAATAAGTCTGGAGGAGGTGTTTTGATTGCTGTGTCAAAAAAGTATAATTCATATAGATTGTCTAAGTTTGAGAGTATGTGCGAGGATGTTTGGGTGGGTGTGGATGTATGCATTAATGGAAAGATCGTTACACTTAAGTTTTGCTGTGTATACCTACCGCCACCTATTCAAGAGAGTATACTTACCACCTTTATTAATAATACTTGTGCTGTTTTGGAAAATGAAGGACCCACAATTGTATTAGGTGATTTTAACCTTGGCAACATATCATGGAAGGCAACTGATTCATCATCCTGCGTATCTTCTTTGATTGGCACTTCTAATGCTAATAGTAAATTGAATAACATTCTCCTAGACTTTATATCATTCACCAACTTCAAACAGTTCAATTGTGTTAGCAACCAGAATGATAAAATGTTGGACTTAGTGCTTTCTAGTGTTCCACTGAGCGAATTGAAACAATGTAATACTCCGCTTACAGGCATCGATTTGCATCATCCTCCATTACAATTTATACTTAATGGCGATATTGGGTCTTCTAATTCTTCTTGTTGTGATACAATCAACAGATATAATTTCTTTAAAGCCGACTATAATAGTATTGTTAACTGTCTTAGAGGTACAAATTGGCACGAGAGATTCCATAACATTGACAACATAAATGACATGGTAGACATATTTTACAGTACCCTACAAGATATCATTAAATCTCATGTGCCTATGTCCTGTTATCGTAGTCAAAGGTATCCTGTTTGGTTCAACCGAGATTTAAAACGACTGCTCAAGCAAAAAAACAGAGAGCAGAAATAACAGGAGTGGAACTGACAGGCAATCCCCTCTAGCAATGTAAGTAGACCAGTGGTTCACTCAGTTTATAAAAACTAGTTGCAGCGCCACCAATGACATATTCCAAATGTCACTATTGAAGAGTAACGTGCTGCGATAAAAATTGTGAATTGCAGTGTTTTTAATTGTAAGAAGAGATCTGAAACATCAAATCTTGAAAAGGACAACATTACATTCCATCGGTAAATATTATTTTATTTATTTCACATTAATTAATACACTAAATTTGCAAAAAACTAAATTTCTAGAAGTGTTGCCACTGGAATGACTGGAAAGCAAAAATTCCTAATTGTGTAATATTTTAAGGATAGTGTACTTATAACAATATAATCGAAATTCTATGCAAACAATTTGATACTGCCAATAGGTGTTCTCTTTTATGATATTTGTTAGTATTAATACATTATTAATAATCACTGATAAATGTAAATTCATTTATTACTTTTACCTCGACTGTCGGGAATTATTCATAATAACCGGCGATTATTAATAATTTTCAATTTATCACATTTACCCTGACATAATAAACGTGTTAAGTAAGTTCCCGCTATTTTACAGATTTCCAAAAGATCCAACTACTCGCAATATCTGGATCTTATTATATACTATAATAATAAACTTCTTACACAAAATTATTCATGCCTCCTTTGACTGTTCCTTTCTCTTGGAACAAATTAATTTTACAATTACGCGTAAGCATGTTAGAAGCACGCGATTTATTAAACCTTTTTCTCCTAAGCCTTACAGGAGTAATCTAGGACACTATTCACCTATGGACAGACTTCAGGATCAATTCGGAGTATTAGCTAAGTGTAGTGATTTGAATATATACACAAAGTTTAGTACTTTTAAAACTTGTGTTAATGATGTTCTAAATAATCATAGTTGTGGTTCCTCATTTTCGTAAAATGTTCGTAATATTTCGCTATCTACATTCATAGCTGTGCATATTGTCATCTTTGCTGGTGTTTATGCTTTCTTTTCTGGGTTTACTTTCTGGTTTTTACATTTCAGTCAGCGGTCTGATATCAAGCTGCATTTAAATATTATATTCTATATTCTACCTTCAGTCACTATTATATAAGACATGCAGTTGATATGCTGGATTCCTGGCTTGAATTAAATTCTTATATATTAACACAGAAATTTAATTGAATGTAGTTCAATTAAATTTTTGTGTTTTTTAATTTAGTCGATACTACGCTTCCACGCAATCTATGCACATGTCGTGGCAGCTTTTAATTAAGGCTACACTATAAACATGTATTGTTTTCAATGTTTTTTTTTCCTGTTAATTGTGTATGTCTTGTTAGCTGTCCTTAAATAAATAAATAAAAACACCCATAGTGTCTATTATGTATTGCGTGACGTCAACCGGTGAGCGCTAAAACGGCTGTCAACGTTTGTGTGACATTTCTCACAAGGTTAGGCCAAACCAACACGTGCAGCCTGCGTATGCGATGACGACCAGTAGGCCTAAGATACGCGCCGTCTTACTTTTATCGACGTCAAAATGTATGGGCAAAATCGATAAAATGGCGTGATAACCGCTTATCGCGGCGCGCATCTTAGGCCTACATAAG